CTGCCCTGCCCCGCGCCCAGGTTGGCGCTCCCCGCCGGAAGCCCGAACCCCCCTCTCCTGTCACCAGGTGATCGTGTCACCCGGGACCACACAGCTTCTTTCCCTCACCTGTAACCGCTCGGCCTCGTGCTCAGTATGGCCTGCCACCTGCCGCCATCCTGACACCATCCTGACCTTGGACCCACCACCGCTCACGCGCCTCCTCACCTGACTTCCCTCCCTCCCTCCGGGTCTGGCTGCCTTCTGTTGACATGCTCTGTCGTTGTTTCTCATCGAAGACTAAATAAGCTGCACACTCTTTATTGTGACATGAAAAACTCTGCCTGACATGCGCCCAGAAAGCGATCCCCCACTTCTGACAGATGGAGTCGTCAACACGCTCTGAGTAGACTCTGCACCCCGTCTTTCTCGGCCCCTGCTGCCTGCCGCCGTGTATGGCTTCAACAAGTGCATCCCGAGTATTTTCTTTCTTTCTTTTTCTTTTTTTTTTTTTTTTTTTTTTCGGGTTGTGGGGCTTGAACTCTGGGCCTGGGCGCTGTCCCTCAGCTCTTCTGCTCAAGGCGAGTGCTCTACCACTTGAACTACAGCGCCACTTCCGGTTTTCTGGTGGTTTATTGGAGATAGGAGTCTCACGGTCTCTCCTGCCCGGGCTGGCTTTGAACCTCGATCCTCAGATCTCAGCCTCCTGAGTAGCTAGGATTACAGGCGTGAGCCACCAGCGCCCGGCTGGTTTTTGTTTTTGTTGGTTGTGTTGCTTGAACTTGGGGCCTAGATGCTCTCTCTGAGCCCTTTTGCTCAAGGCTAGTGCTCTACCACTTTGAGCCATAGCACCATTTCCAGTTTTCTGGTGGTTAACTGGAGATCAGAGTTTCATGGACATAGTAGTTAGGATTATGGGTGTGAGCCACCAGTGCCTGGCAATGATTTTTTTTAATAGCTGTCTTCCTATCTCTGGGAATACACAGTCTCTCCTGCCCGGGCTGGCTTTGAACCGCGATCTTCAGATCTCAGCCTCCTGAGTAGCTAGGATTACAGGCGTGAGCCACCAGTGCCCAGCATCCCGAGTATTTTCAAGATGGGCACTGGTGGTTCACACCTGTAGCCTTAACTACTCAGGTGGCCGTGATCTGAGGACTGGGTTCAAAGCCAGCCTGCACAGAGAAGCCCATGAGACACTTAACCTCCAACGAACCACCAAAAAGGCAGAAGGAGAGCTTTGGCTCAAGAGCAAGGCCCTAGCCTTACAGGAACAGAACCCAGACCCTGAGTTCTAGCCCCAGGACTGGCGCGCGCGCGCGCACACACACACACACACACACACACACACACACACACACACCAATAACTCTTCAAGCACTAGCCACTATTCACTTCTACCAGTTTTAACTTTGCATGTACTCATTCATTTAATCTTTATAACCGTCCCACGAGCTAAAAATACTATTGTTATCTATTAGCAGACCAAGAAATCAAGCTACAGAGAGGTTAAATAATTTGCATTAGATTACACAGCTGGCAAAAGGTAGAGCTGAGATTCAAACCCTGGCTCCAAAGTCCATGGGCCTGATTGCCCCAGGAAGGCTCATTACATCTGTGAGGAGTAGCCAAGGGGGGCTTCTCAGAGGAGGCATTTAAAAAGTAATGTGATAGATTGGTGGGGATTTGCCAGCA